GCTGAATTATACAGCCGGAAGCAACAGTTACCACTAGCAGAAGTGGGTGGGCTGCAACTCCCATCCATGGAAATGTTTCCAGTCCATTACACACCAGGCAGCAATTAAAACTTACTTTATTGGATGACTGATCAATCTAGCACACAGAGCTGAACCTGGCAGGTTAAATCCTGAAGACAGATAGTCTGGGATCGGTAAGATCAAACCATGACGCAGAAGATGGATTAGGACTGTTATTTACAGAGTTGGCAGGATTATGTAAGTATGTCCAGTTGGCAAAAGTTTGTTCAACCATAGAGTCTGTTGCATTGATATTTTTTCCCCCCACAACAGCAGCTGGTGACTAGCAACAGAAAGTTTCCAAATCTGTTTTATCAGCCATTCAAAAGGCCGAGAGCAGTGATGTTTCGAATCATTTCCCTCATGGAGAGGGGCATTGTTGTAGTTGTGTACTTGCGAATATCAGGATTTAACATTTTAAGGTCGGACAATCCAGAAGAAGTGGATGGGATTGTCCCATTCTGTGTTAAATAAGAAATTGGGTTTTGGCAACCATGGAGATGTGTTTAGGATTCTTGTATGTGATTATAATACTCTCAGATAGTAAGAACTGCCGATGCTGGAGCCAGAGATAACAGAGCGGAGCTGGAGGAACACAGTGGGCCAGGCAGCATCCAAGGAGCAGGAAAATGTTGATGTTTCAGGTCAGGACCCTTCTTCAGAAATTGGGGGGGGGGAGGGGAGGGGAAGGGAGCTCTGAAATAAATAAAGAGAGGGAGAGAGAGATGGGCTGGGGAAGCTGGGTGAGATGGTGATAAGTGAGTGCAGGAAGGTAGTGGTGGGAGCAATGGATAGGTGGGAGAGAAGATGGACAGGTTGTGTCAGGTCAAGGAGGTGGGGATGAGAGGGAGGGTTGGTCATGGGAAGAGGCCAGGGGTGGGGAGATTTTGAAATTGGTAAAGTCCACGTTGTGACCATTGGTTTGTAGGCTCCCAAGGTGGAATGAGGTGCTGCTCCTCCAGTTTCTGGGTGGCATCACTGTGACACTGGGCGAGACCCAGGATGGACATGTCACCCAGGGAGTGGGAGGGGGAGTTGAAATGGTTCACTGGTGGGTGGTGTTGTTGTTTGTTGCGAACCGAGCGCAGGCACTCTACAAAGTAGTCTCCAAGTCTCTGTTTGGTCTCACCGATGTAGAGGAGGCCACATCCGGAGCTGCGGATGTAAAGACCACATTGGTGGATGTGCAGGTGAATCTCTGTCTGATGTGAAAGGTTTTTTTGGTTCCTTGGATGGAGGTGTGGGGGGGGGGGGGGTGTGGTGTCAAGGTGTAGGGGCAAGTGTAGCACTTCCTGCGTTTGCAGGCAAAGGTGCTGGGGGGTGGTGGGGCTAGTGGGGAGTGTGGAGCGGACGAGGGAGTCACAGAGAGCATGGTCCCTACAAAAGGCAGATAGGGGTGGGGAGGGAAATATATGTTTGGTTCTGGGGTCAGATTGCAGGTGGCAGAAGTGGTGGAGAATGATACGTTGAATCCGGAGGCGAGTGGGGTGATACGTGAGGACAAGGGGGACTCCATCTTTGTTTTTGTTGTGGGGAGGGGATGTGAGGGCAGAGGTGTGGGAAACACAAGAGATGTGGGCGAGAGCATTTTTGACCACCTCCTCTCACCCACCTTCCTGCAAGAATGCGATCCCCTACCTCCAATTCCTCTGCCACGTCTGCTCCCAAGATGGGGCGGTCCGCTCCCGAACATCCCAGATGTTCTCTTATTTCAAGGACCGCAACATCCCCCCTTCGGTGGTCGAAAATGCTCTCGACCGGATTTCTTGCGTTTCTTGCACCTCTGCCCTCACACCCCCTCCCCCCAACAAAAACAAAGACAGAATTTCCCTTGTCGTCACGTATCACCCCATTAACCTCTGGATTCAACATATCATTCTCCGCCACTTCTGCCACCTGAAATCTGACCCCACGACCAAAGATATTTTTCCCTCCCCACCCCTACCTGCCTTCTGTAGGGACTGCTCTCTCCACGACTCCCTCGTCCGTTCCACATTCCTCACTAGTCCCATCACCCCGGCACCTTTGCCTGCAACTGCAGAAGGTGCTACATCTGCCCTTACACCTCCCCACCACCCCTCACTTCCATCCAAGGTGTTTTTTTTTATTGGTTCCTTTCGCATCAGACAGAGATTCACCTGCACATCCACCAGCGTGGTCGACTGCATCCACTGCTCCTGACGTGACCTCCTCTACATCGGTGAGACCAAGCGGAGGCTCTGCTCATGACAAATGACAACAACTTCCAGTCGTGAACCATTTCAACTCCCCCTCCCACTCCCTGGGTGACATGTCCACCCTAGGCCTCCTCTAGTGTCACAACAACGCCACCCAGAAACTGGAGGAGCAGCACCTCATTTTCCAACTTGGGAGTCTACAACCCAATGGTCTCAATGTGGACTTTACAAGTTTCAAAATCTGCCCACCCCCGGCCTCATTCCCATGACCAACCCTCTTTCTCATTCCCCTGCCTCCTTCACCTGGCACAACCTGTCCATCTTCTCTCCCACCTATCCACTGCTCCCAACTCACTGACCAATCCCTACCACTGCCTTCCTGCACTCACCATCCCACACACCTTCCCCAGCCTCACCCCTCCTCTCCATTTATTTCAGAGCTCTATTCTCCTCTCCCATTTCTGCAGAAGGGTCCCGATCAAAAACGTTAGCTTTCCTGTTCCTCGGATGATGCCTTGCCTGCTGTGCTCCTCCAGATCCACACTGTTGTCTATGATTACGATATATTGCTTTCAAGCATAATGTGCAATATAATTTTTTTGTGATCAATAGTTCCTAGTGGATCATTTAGTAAAAAGAAATTCCTAAGTAAGCCTGTCGCATTGAAAATATTAGATCTAGAACAGCTTTACAGTTAGCTCCATAATATATTCTTCCAAACAATGTCACCAAAGCATTAAGACCAGATTTGCCAATTTGACTTTTACAGACTACACAAAATCTAAAGATCCCCACAATTATTGCACTGTTTTCTCAAAATTTGATCAATTTATTATTTACAGCTCAGTCCAATGTTATGTTTATGGGTTCCCTTAATACTGCGGGAGAACCCATAAAAAGCATTCAAATTTACTTAAGCAGAAAACAGCATTTTCTGACCCTTGGAATCCCTAGTCAACATTTTTCCACCCATGCCACCAGAACTAAATTTTAAAAATAAAAGTAATTAAATATTTCGTTACAATAAGAGATCTTGCTGTGCATAATTAAGCTTTCTCGTTTTCCCACACCATAACCTGGCTGAACCATAGAAGGTGATGTTCTGAGGTCATGAAAGGTTAAGTTCTCTGCTCTTTTCAAATGAAAGTTAAGATAGTTAGCTCCTCTCAAACTACAAATATTACAGAGGGCTGCAAATGTAAATAGCAAAACAATAGACATTGACATGGCGTTATATAATAGAGCTGAACAGCAGTAGGCTATTCAATTAATATGGTCTATGTCGCTGTAACTGCTCAACACGAGCGAGAAACTTCCCAAATAATTTCATCTTCCCGCGTTACAACAGCATTACAATCATAAACGCTAAAACAAACTGCCAAGAATCACGGCTGCTGCAAAAGCAAGTACATTTACAACTACTTCTGCACAAATTAAAACTCTTGTGGCGATAAATCAAAGCGAAAGTAGCATATAATTCACGAAACTATGTTCTGTACATATCACGTATGAAAGCCGAAACTTCCACAAGACCATACTGGGCGCACTGTTACTTCTTTGCTAGGTTAAAGAATTGGTCGGACCTAAACACACGGTTCTGAATATTTGAAAAATGCTTCCACTTTCGAATAAAACAGCAGCAAATCAGATGCAGCAGTCGTTTTGTGCAAATCTAACGGTTTAATTACGTTTAATTCACTCGGCAGGATGGGATCACAGTGCAAAAATGTCAACTGTCAACTGTCAAACGTATTTTGAGATTTTATCTCGGCCTTATGAACGCCCAATGTAAAATTCAAAGACTTGTCTAAATTTAGGCAATGGATTTCGCCAACATTTTCTACTGCAGTTCTTCTGCTACACACACACAAAGTCGGAACCATTTAGAACAATAACATCGTTATCAGATTTCTAAAGAAACCAGTTTAAAAGAAAGCAGCCCCTGTGCTTCACAAATCAGTTGAAAGCTAGCTGTCCTCACAACCTATGAAGCGAAGTCCGGCTCGGAGGTGGAACAGAATCCACTCCATCGCCAGTTTTCACCGGCCACTCAGACTCGCGGCAGTTTCGCTTCCAAATAACGCCAATTCATGTTTCTGATCAGCGGAAGGATCAGCTTTTATCCATCTCAGACGACAATGGAGCCAGAGACATATCATTCCTACATATCAGGCTGTGGCATCATTTGGTGCCCAGGGTGTTTTACTCGGCAGCTTCCTGTTCCTGCCCTCTTCCCCGCCCGCTAGCCTGGTACCAATCCCAACTCCTGCCCACCACTACCAGCCTGGCACCAAACCCAGTTCCTGTCCGCCACTGCTACCAATCCCAGTTCCTGCCAGTCTCGTGCGCTTTTTTAAAGTTTTGCAGGAGGGGGCGTCATTCTCTCCAAAATCACAGCATCGAGTGAAAGCAATCCACTGGGACAGTACCAGCAAGTAAAAATTAACTTGAATTATGTATTTTTGCGCAATTCTCATTTATATAATTTATAGAAGTGTACGAATTAAAGTACATCAAATTATTAGCGTTTAGTCGCCTCCTCCTGCTCTAAATTCGTTATTTTTCTGTATTTGCACTTAAACCGTTCAAAGCTGTTCATAACAGGAGCCTTTAAAAATCGTTGTCCAAAAAACCGGTGTCCACAAACACGTTTCTGCAAGTCACTGCTTCTAGACATGTGCGGAATCATAGCACAGTACAGGTCTTTCGGCCCACGAATCAGTTTGTTCTAAAACGGCGAGAAAACTCAGAAAAAGGACAAACCTTATGCACGAACTCGACTTGAAAACGGGAGCCAGAATAGTACAGCGCGTCTTCCAGAGTTGTTCACTAAGGTTTGGCAAACGACTGGAGAAAGGGTGACACTAATTCGTCTACACCAATCCAGGGGCAGGTTCCAGGCGGGAGAGCTGTCTGATTGGCTCCCAGAGCTGTCGTTTTATCGTTGTTGCAGGCGGAAGCCGAGATGAGGTACACAGGTGCAATGCATATAGCCCCTTCTTGAGCAAGGGTTAGGTGGTTAGAAAATGGGTCTCCCTACACACAAATCGATGAATCTGTACTACTCTAAAGCTGATACAGCAGATTTTTATTTATTCAGAAATGTAGTGGACATAGTTAACCACATGTGTCAAATGGAGGAGCGCCAGCTCTTAGGTTCGGAGGCTGAGACGACGCGAACAGCTAGTTTCCATTTATCGTTACACCATAGCGAAAAGGTGTAGAAGCAGTGATCAGACAGGCGAGGAGACCCAGTCTGGTAGTACGGGTATCTCCTGAATACGTCTTGGTGTTGAATTGGTATCAATTCTAGTTATGGCTGAGGGCGATCGTTCGGCTGGGGAATGCTGTTGGGGCCGAGTCCACACCGTCTCACTTGTGCATGGTTGGAAAAGGAACGTCAGGAAAGCAATATGGGTAGGTGTCTTAATAGTTATGGGGGCAAACAAACATCTTTTGCTGCCAGAGATATAATTCCAGAATAGTATGTTGTCTCCCAGGTGTCACTTAACAGCTGCAAATCACTTTGAAAGGGGAATGTAAACACCCAGATGTCATGGTCCAAATTTAAACCATCTTAAGGATGACAAGATTCTACAAGCAGATTTCAGGAATATACCTAATGAATTAAATTGTAAGATCTCACTAATTTTAAAATTATCTTCAATACTGTAGACTTTTTCCATTCATTCTCGTGGGAAATGGCGTTCCTAGTTGCTCTTGAGAAGATGACGACGAGCTGTTTTGTTTAACCACGGCAGTCTATGTGTTGTAGGTAGACCTACCTGTGCCCTTAGGAAGGGAATTTCAGGATTTTGACCGAGCAACAGCAAAGGAACGCAATTTATTACCAAGCCTGGATGGTGAGTAGCTTGGAGGGGAACTTGCAGTTGGTTGTGTTCCCATGAATTTGCTGCCCCTGTTCTTCTAGATGGAAGTAGTCATGGGTTTGGAAGGTGCTATCTAAGGATCTTTGGTGAATTTCTGCAATGCATTTTGTAGATCGTATATACTGCTCCTACTGAGCGTCAGCAGTGGAGGGAGTGGATGGTTGTGGATGTGGTGCCAGTCAAGTGGGCTGCTTTGTTTTGGATTGTGTCCAGCTTCGTGAGTGTTGTTACAGCTGCACGCATCCAGGCAGTTGGGGAATATTCTATCACATGGCTGACTTGTTCCTTTGTAGATGATGGACAGGCTTTGGGGAGCCAGGAGGTGAGTTACTGGCAGCAGTATCCTCGTTCTGACTTGCTCTTGTAGCCACTATAATTATATGGTGAGTCCAGTTGAGTTTCTGGTGAATACTAACCTCCAGGAAGTTGCTTATGTTGCTGTCACTGAATCTCCCACAATGTGAGTACAGAGATAGGAGGATAGTATAATTGAATGCATGTCCAAAGCAATGGTGCAGGATAGATTCACTTTTCTTGGCTATTGGAATCAGTTTTGAAGGAGGAAGGACTTTCAAAAGACAAATGAGTTGTACCTCTATAGTGGGGTTTACCAAAAGGACTACCAGAAACGGGGTTAGGATGTTAAGAAGCTAACTGACAGGTGGAGGCAGAGGCTACAAGGCTCTGACCGAGGAGCACTCACTTTCATGTTCCACTGTGCTGCAAATTTAAAAGTGTGTAATGGGGAAGAAAATGGCTGTGACCATACTTGGAGTGGGTGGGGTAGTTGACTTGAACTGCGAGAGCAGAGGCGGCAGTACCCATTGATGTTAGGACGTTCAAAGGGAAAGAACATTGTACAGGTCTTTACGCATGGCTCGGTGTACAGACCAATGGGATCCTACTTCTCCGGTCAACTTAATGCATTGCCCTTCTGCGTGGTTTTCTTCCCCGCATGGATATCACTGAACACCTCATTGACAACAACATTTGAACACAGGTCATGAAAGAATACAGATGTTTTACGATTAGGTCCAAAGGTATCAGCGTGACCGAATGAAGATGCAATTGTTCCTCTTCCTTCCAGATGATGCTGCAGGCTCTCAAAACATGGATCATGTCTGTGGTCATGAAATGGTGCTTGATATTGTAATGATGCCACCTGAGGCTACACAGACAGACGAACAACCAGATGCAAGGTGAAATCAGTGACATTTATACAGAAGTGCATATTACATACAATGCTTTGAGAACTGTACCACCAAAATGCCTTTCATTGGTCTTTGTCTTCCGGTCCCCGCTACATTTTGGTGTACTCCCTGTTTCTGCAGTTGGGGTGAAGGGAGCCAATTTGGCAGTGGAGCCCAGAGGCAATTAGAACATTATCTGCATGAACTTCCAAGGGTCGGAGGGCTCGGGCAGGGTGGAGAGGGGGACCTGGCCACCTCTGGGGTGGGCTGACAGGAGACGTCTGCGGGGATTGCATGTGGTTTGTCTTTTGGCTAGGTGTCATGTGGCACAACCCTGTCTACTTGTAAGGAAAGGATGCCTGGCGTGATCGCCAGGTTTTCTGTCCCTTTCACCATCGCTTCAATCTTGAAAACCAGTGCCATTTTCCTCTTTTTGGCAATGTTCACACTCTGTCTCTGAGCAAACAGGGCAGCCTCGGAGTGTTGGTGCTCCTCCGAATGTACAGCAGACTTTTTCATGATAGCGCTGGTGCGAGGAGTTCCCGTCTCTTGGTAACTTCCAGTGATTGGCGAGTTGCTGTGGAAATGGTGCTTAGTAAAATAGGACCAGAATTGGATATGAGCGAAGTCTTTGAGGCGATATTGTTTGTTGCTTGTGAGGACCCCCAGCAGAAATCCCTCCAAAATACTCAACGCAACTCACGACTGGGTAGGAATGGCGTCAGTGAATATTTCTTCATAGTTTGATTCTTGGACACTTGCCCAGCATTAAATCTCTTGTTTCTTTTACATCTCTTAATTAAACAGAGAGTTTGCAAAGATCTTCTTTGAGAACAGTTTTGTTTTCTAACTTAAATACTTAGACCTACGGAACTTCTTAGAATCAAAAAATAACCCCTGAGAAAAGCTCAAAGTCTTTACAAAGAAAAGTGTAAATTTTACCCTTCGCTTACACAAATTTTTAAAATTCAGGACCATGCGGAGAGCATGAATGCAGGTCAATTAGTGATCATCGTTAAATGTACTGTATTTTGTTATTTTTAGTGTGCTTTAATTTTATTTTCATGATAATGCACTTTATAAAGTATTTATTAGACAATATGTCTTGCTATTTTGCTAAATCTGAATGAATGAGCAACAGCAGCACTTCAGCACAGAGTTCTGTTGTGACTGCTGAAAATGCTATAATGCAAAACTTCTATTACAATGATGTACTCTCAAAGTTCAGGGTCCGTAATTGCTTTTAAACTTTGTTGGTAAAACATCACCAAAGCAAAATTGTTAAGTTGATGCCATTTATCTTCAGGAATTTCCTAAATTTGGTATTCTTTCCAAGCAAAATAACCATAAAAATGTGACTGAAAATATGAAGCCACTGTTTGTATTAACAATTTGAGAAAGACAAGAGGCAAAGTATATACAGTTGTATCCAGGCATTCAAATATCATTGTAAACCTTGGTTTTTAAATGAATGCCTTAATCCACAAATTAAACTAGAGCCATAAAGTCATTCCTAGATAACTGGAAGGGGAGAGAGAGAGAGAGAGGCAAACACTCACAGAAGTTTAGGGGTGCAATTCCCTGGCTTAGAACCTCAGAAGTCAAAAGCATTGGTGAGTCAATTAAAATCTGGAATGTTCAAGACAAACTCAGAAGGTTTTGGGCCTGGATGAGAATGCACATATAGAGAGATGCAAGGCTATGACTGGTGGGGAGAGTGGTATGGGAGTTGATAGGGGCAAAAGCCAATTTGAAATAAAAAGAAAAAAAAAATTTCAAATCAGTTCTTGTTTAACCAGCAGCTATTGTGGTTCTGCAAGCACAAGGATGGTGGGTGAGCAGGAATTGGTAGAGATTGGAGCAAAGGCAAGACTAGTGAGGACAAACATATGTGCTAGAGGAAAGGATGTGAGTACATGCAGGTTAAGGGAAGAAATAAAAAAGGATGTGAGTACATGAGCGTTAGTGGAGGAGATACAAAGGAGGTAAATGAAGGAAAATGGGGAAAGAGAAGCAAGAATGCAAAAAGAAGGGTGGGAAGGAAAGAGAAATAAATTGAGGAGGGAGAAGATGAGGCAATAGAGTCATATAGTCATAAAGCAAGGAAACAGACCCTTCAGTCCAACTCATTTGCACTGACCAGGCATTCCAATCTGACCTAGTCCCATTTGCCACCATTTGGCCCCTATCTCCCTAAATCCTTCCTATTCATAAACCCATCCAGATGCCTTATAAATGTTGTAATTATACCTGCCTCCACCTCTTCCTCTGGCAGCTCATTCCATACATGCACTACTCTCTGCATGAAAAAGTTATCCCTCGGGTCCTTTTTAAATCTTTTCCCTCTCACCTTAAACCTATGTCCTCTAGTTTGGACTCCCACACCCTAGGAAAAAATACCTTGCCTATTCACCCTATAGAGATTTTATAAACGTCTATAAGCTTCCTCAGCCTCCGACACTCCAGGGGAGAAAAGTCCCAGCTTATTTAGCCTCTCGCTAAAGCTGAAACACTACAGTTCTGACAACGTCTTTATAAATCTTTTCTGCACCGTCCCAAGTTCAACAACATCCTTCCTATAGAAGGGTGACCAGAATTAGGCACAGTATTGCAAAACAGGCCTCATCAATGTCCTGTACAGCCTCAACATGACATACCAACTTGTATAATCAATGTTCTGATCAATGACTCCACTTTCAAGGAACTATGCACCAAAAGGAGAAGATGAGGGAGGAAGAAAGGGAAAGGAGCACGCAAATAGGTGAAGGAAAGTAAAAGCAAGGAGAACAGTGTGAAAAAAATTAGTAT